GTCATGTTGGCAAACCAAGACTCGCGGGGGTACTAGACCGCAATTTGTCAACCAAAGTTCTTGTAACACCCGGGCTCCTCTCGGGTCGAATTTACAATGCAAAATAACAATCGTACAGACCGCTTTCGCAAAATGGCTTCAAAACCAAAGAAACGTAAGATCAACGGCGAAAGCTCTGTAGAAACTGAGGATTTTTGAAGTAGAAGTCATGGTAAGTTTTCACATTTATGCACTTTTGATTTGTTTGTATAAATTATTTCCGAGCTGATAAACTAAATTTGCTTCTCTTGGGATATTGTGGAATTGCGAATATTGTGAGGAAACTGTAATGGAAGCCAGGAAAATTTTGTCCAGAGCGTACAAAGAGAAAGAAAATGCCATCGGCAAATTGAGCTCTGTTTTGCTCGGAAGAATTCTTAACAAATTATGGGGAGATGAAGTTAAATTGGTGGGGTGACGACCACGTAACTCAAAGGTGCATTAACATGAAAACTTACCATGACTTCCACTTCAAAAATCCTCAGTTTCCACAGAGCTTTCGCCATTGATCTTATGTTTCTTTGGTTTTGAAGCCATTTTGCGAAAGCGGTCTGTACAATATGATTATTTTGCATTGAAAATTCGACCTGAGAGGAGCCCAGGTGTTACAAGAACTTTGGTTGACAAATTGCGGTCTAGTACCCCCGCGAGTCTTGGTTTGCCAACATGACGAGGTTAGCAAGCTGATTTCAACGGTCATTGTGTCGCGGATCAAACGGACACAGAGTCTTCCATCGTTTCATCATTTCATTGGGGACACGAAGAGCCACCTGGCATCGCTCACAGGGCTGCAATTGTGTGGCTAGAGAATTGAAATGAAAGATCAACCTTTGCCCTTGAATTCTGTGGTGGACTTGTGGCCGTGGGTACATTTTAGCCTGGCAGTTTTGACTTCGTACGGCAGGCTGTCCCGACTAAGGTGTTTCACCTTGTCCTCTCTCTATGAAGGAAAAAACAGAATTAAAAAAAGTCGCTTAAATCAAGTTCAATCGGTAAAATAACCACACCAGGAGCCAACAACACACGTATGGAATAAGGTAAGCCATTTTTATAAACCCTTATAATTTGATGCCATATTGTATTGCTTGTGTGGTTCAGAGAGAGAGCTTGGGCTGCCCGTGAGATCATTGAGGCCTTCACGCTCCTTTTAAGCGGCCTTCACACGGCAAACTTAAGTTGGCATACCCGTGTTGGCAAACTTCAAAAAGTTGGCAAGCTCGTTCCTTCACACGTGAAACTCGCATCAAATCACAACACACGGTAGTTTGCAACATGGCCGACTTGGTGCAGTGGCACTCACGTAGAACAGTGGAACAAAAGAAGAGTAGAGAAGAAACAGAAAGCAAGAAAGGTTTGGACGAAACTCAGTTTGTCTGCTAGCTCCTCCATTTTCCTTTGTTTGGTTTTAGTATCTTTGTAGACTACAGATGAAACGTCCCACACAGCTGGACAATTATGAACCTTTTCGATAAATTTAAAAGTGGCCTTGCGTTTATCTTGACCTGTGTCTGCCATATTGTATAGTGTCATGCAAAGGATTCATGTGAATAGAGCACGTGTTTTGATTGGTTGACAGTTACCAACACATGTTTGCCAATCGTTCACACGTCAGATACGAGTTTACCTACATGAAAAAGTTGGTGAAAAAGTTGGCGAGAATAGAGGCAGTTCTATTTGTCGCCAACAGTTTGCAAACATGTTTGCTGAGTGTTTCTGTGCTGTTCACACACACCAACTTGAGTTTGACAACACGAGTTTGCCAACTTTAGTTTGCCGTGTGAAGGCCGTTTTAGAATTTGCCACTGCCAACAAAAAATAATCAAATCGCTCCTCCAAAAAAAAAATTAAAGACAGTGGAACCCCTTACTTAACCTAGTGTGATCATGCACTACCCCTAACTCTCCTTTCAATTTTTCTCTCTCCTTCTTCTGCAAAAAGTATTAGAATCTGACCTTAGCTTGCAAGTTACCCCTAACAGGGCTAACCAGTCTGGGGCAGACCTTTCAAACATCATGATCCAAACATGGACACCCAGCTTTGACGAATATCTTCTAGCATGCTCAGTGTGCAGTACTCACTGTCTCTGATTGATCCCTGCAATCTGTTTTTGCACCATTCTGTGTTTCAAGAGATCTTCCTTTAAAAAATAAAGTTTCCTATTTTGTGCACTGGTTGACCTGCAGTATGTAGATGTAAAGTAGGTGCGACCAAATCTATTGCTCAAGTCAAATTCCCTAGAGTCACCTATTTTCCAAAAATTCCCAAATTCCCTAGGTTTCTGTTTGCAGCTGAGATTGCAATCTTAGCAGCTTGTACAAGCTCAGTATACTCTACTGTAGGTTGAAACGAACTCTACACTGAAATGGCGAGAAAGACTATTTTCAATCCCCCTTTATTCCTTACCATGTCCTAATTACTGTGTGATGGGTGCATACTGTGCATACATGCAAGCAGGTGCAAGGAAGTAAAACCCAAGAAAATCAAGCATGGGATGCAATGTCCTAGGTTAACTTTGTCCCTGGATTCTTTACATGATATGATTACTAATTAACAAAAATCATAAGATACCAGTATGTGGTTATAAATTTAGTAAGATATGTGTTGGCTGAAATCAGAGTTCCTCAACACAAAAAGAAAATAATTGACAATATAGTACAGTAATGACTTATGACTTATTGTGCAATTACATGTATCTGATGTCTTGTCAAAACCTTTCCACAGAAATCTGTATGTGCTGTGATGTTCAGTAGTCAAATAATTAGTTTCCAGAATCTTCTTTTTCAATAGAGTGAAGAGATTAACAAAGAAACCAAAATCTACCTGTAATATGTTTGTAATTTATTTTATAGTCCCAGAAAAATAATATAAATGATATATTTAATTTGTTTTGCACAGCAATCACAATATACTGCACAGTGATTGGGACCCAACAATCTAAACACCACTTATTTATAAATACATGTAATAAGCTAAACAATTGACAACATGACAGTAATGCAGATACTGGGGCTGAGGTGCAGCTTCTGAGACATTATGTTCTTCTTTTTGCAGGGAAAGTTAGATGAGATTACAAATTGTTCTGAACAAGTGAAAAAGCAATTCAACATTGGACGTTATTCCTCAGACAATCCATTAAAAGTTACTATCCTGGGAACTGGGTGGTGGTGGTTTGAACCACTGCCAATTGCATTTTGTCCTGATTCCGTACTCTTTTGTCAAGAGTTGGCTATTCAATTGGCAAAATGTCCTGAGGTTAGAGTCACCTTCCTGGTCCCAGAAAATTCATGCAGTGAACGTGAAAAGATGGATGCTGCCAGGTATGGTGTTACCATTGTTGAAGCAAAGAAACAACCAGGTTTTGATGACCCTTCTGATTGGTTGTATTTCCCACCAGAAAACCTCACTACTGACTTTGTAGTTGGTATGGGTGAAAAAATGGGCAAAATTGCACAAGTCTTTAAGGAATTTCATCAGTGCAAAAACATTTATATTACTTCTGACCCTTTGGAGGAGCATGCAGTTCTATTAGAAGAGAGAAGAATTATAGAAAAAAAGATTGCACATCATGAAAAGAGTTACAAAAATGTTGGACTCAGTCAAAAGGCTGATCTTGCTGTTGCTCCTGGTCCTAAGATGTCTGAGAGTCTTTCTGCTTCCCTCCATTACCACAAGAAAGATGTTTTCAAATTCACTCCTGGTATACTCAGTGAATTTTCTGATGTTAAACATGCTGCTGCTGAACGAACAAAATTTCGTATCTTAATCATTGGTGGTGGAGACCCTGACAATTTTGAACGAGAGGGTCTTAACACTACCGCGGAAGCAGTGGCAGAGTTGAAGGACAAATCTTATCACCTTTTGTATGTTGGTGCACAAAAAGGTAAACATGAGCAATTTGTCAAAAAATTTTGTCAGTGTGGTGTTTCAAAAAGTCAGTTAACCATTCGAAGCCTTCCCAAAAGTGAAGAAGAGTTGAAAAGCTTGTTCTGTGAGGTAGACCTGGCCATTATGCCCTCAAGTGAACAGGGATTTGGAATGATGGGTCTCGCAGCATTATCTTCTGGTCTGCCTGTCCTGGTACATGAGGATTCAGGATTTGGTGAAGCCCTGAAAGAGGTCAAATTTGGAACATCATCCGTAGTGGATTCTGAAGATGCCAGTGTCTGGGCCAAAGCAATCAAGAGGGTGCAAAACACGGAGAGGAAGATCAGGCTTCAGGAGGCTGCATCACTGCGTTCACATTATGATGAGAAGTACAGCTGGGAGGAACAGTGTAGAGCTTTGGTTCAAAAGATGTTGACCATAGTCTCTGGTACGAACTTCTCTGTTGCTTAAATCTATCTTTGCTAAATCAGTGGTTACAAAGCTCAACCAATTATTTGGATTATGTCAATATATCTTTTTTGCATTCAAGACAGGTAATCAAAGGGCTTTGTACATGTAAAACCAGTCAAATGGGTTATAACCTGTCTTTGTACCATAATTTTATATTCATTTTTTGTAAGTTATGAAAACACTTGTGTCTTATTTAACCTATTGACTCCCGTGCCACCCGTAGCCGGCCGTGACGAGCCTTAGCTTTTATTCCACATCTGACGTTATCACCTTTGACCAAAATTGGCATCATCTATACTCAACTTCTGCTGGAGGAAAAGATCTTTCCAATGATACCCAGATCAGAGTGATCGGCTCAATGGAGCCTTAAATATGCACAAAAATGCTCAGAAATTTGTGTGAAAAACTTGGAGCAAAGTTTCCTACAACTACACGTTGCTACTTCATGGAAAAAATTGCCCGTCTCCATGATGGTTTCTCAGAATTTTTTGAAATGAAAACAAGCCCAGTAGAAGGTCAATCACTGCAGCAAAAAAAAAAAAAATTGAAAAAGAGAAAAAGGAAAGACAAAAAAAAAAAATTGAAAAAAATGACAAGTCTAAAAAATTTTGATTTCTGCCCATGCCTGAGCAAAAATGTCATAAAACCTGATGCTAGTGGAAAGAAAGGCATGCAGGTCCTGTTGCAAATGCATTTTTTAGTAGATTGGAGCTACTTTGGCCCATATCCAGCCTGAAAATCTCCAAAATGTCCAAAAAATGCGTTTTTGGCAAAAAGCTCTGGGAGTCAATGCGCTAAATATTAAACAATTCATGCAGTAGCTCCTTATAGCAAATAAATATCAAAGTTTAAAGTTCCAAAGTCTCACTGAAACATGGAAATAAGTAATAGTAATTGGACTTAGTGGAGTACAATTCAGGGAGAAATCATGTGAGTAATTTCGAAATCAGACTAGCATGAAGCGTGAGGCCAATTTGAAACTGCAAGCACAATATTATCTCCTCAGAGCTTTATTATGTAGCTCTCTACACGCACTGCAGGCCTTTGATGCTCCCTCGTCATAGGCCTGCAGTGCGTGCAGAGAGCTAGATAATAAAGCTCTGAGGAGATATGAAAGGC